CTTTTGGTGTTGCTGAGCTCACCGGTGCGTTCCTTCTTTTTAAGAATGTTCCAAACAGTTGTTTTGGCCACGCCTAATGTTTTTGCTATCTCTCTGATGGGTTTGTTTTGTTTTTTCAGCCTAATGATGGCTTCACTGATAGTGACAGCTCTTCTTGAGAGTTGACAGCAACAGATTCCAAATGCAAATAGCACACTTGAAATGAACTCTGGACCTTTTATCTGCTCATTGTAATTGGGATAATGAGGGAATAACACACAGGTACCTGGCCATGGAAAAGCTGAGAAGCCAATTGTCCCATTACTTTTGGTCCCTTAACAAGTGGGAGGCACATATGCAAACTGTTGTAATTCCTACACCGTTCACCTGATTTGGATGTAAATACCCTCAAATTAAAGCCGACAGTCTGCAGTTAAGGCACATCTTGTTCGTTTCATTTCAAATCCATTGTGGTGTATAGAGCCAACAATGTTAGAATTGTGTCGATGTCCCAATATTTATGGACCTGACTGTAGTTAAAAAATATATATTTTTAAAAATATTTTTCATATATTTTGTAATATATAAAAAATGCATTTCAACATGCAGTATATATATATTTATTTTAAATATATTGAATATGGCCAAATTGTAGTATTTCAAATATATTTTTCTTCCATGTGGGTATGCATGAGGTCTTTTAGCACTTAAAAGTAATTAAGATGTCACTGAATCAGCAGTCTGAGGCCTTGGTGTCAGTCCCATAGACACTCATTCTAATCTCAGCCATAATGTGTGACAATTGGCAGCCGACGACTTACCTCACCATCAAATCTAAACAAGAATACTGAGAGTCATTCATGAGAGCCAGTGACTCTGATACACCAGTTAACTGGACTCTGCAGAAGAACCAAATTCCAGAAGAACTTTTATTTTTTAATTCATTTAGTTTTATTGTTGTTATTGTCTATTTTGGAATACGTTTTCTGCATTTTTTTCTTGCATTTCTGTTCCTTCTTTTTCTTTAAAATTATTTTTAGAAATCATTAAACTTATTTTCTAAATACTCTAAAGAAGAAATGAAAGAATCCTTGCCGCTTCGAAGAATATTACAATATTTGTAACTCTTTTACCTTCCTGTCTGGAGTGGCAGTGAGTGTCTCAAGTTCAAAATGGTCACACCAAATGCTATGAATGGTGCCATACCGGGGTATCCGCATCTGTGAAATAAAAAAGGTGTGTGGCAGTACGTATGGAGTGTGTGGAGCTAAACATCCCGGTGAGGATCACTCTGTCTTTTTGAGATTGTTGTCCTGTGAGCTGCACACAGTGAGGCTGGGAGTTTCTGGGGTTAGGGATTCATCCCAGGGAGTTTTGGGTGTTCTCTCCAATTGCTGTATTCAATCTTCCTGTTACATCTTCCATATATATCCAGCTGTGATGTGGGAACCCTCATAATGGGCACAGCAGGTGTGCAGACCCAGGAACTCAGCACAGGGATGGTGGGAACCCCTCATTATGGGCACAGCAGGTGTACAGACCCGGGAACTCAGCACAGGGATGGTGGGAACCCCTCATAATGGGCACAGCGGGTGTGCAGACCCGGGAACTCAGCACCTGGATGGCAGAACCCTTCATAATGGGCACAGTGGGGGTACAGACCCGGGAACTCAGCACAGGGATGGTGGAACCCCTCATAATGGACACAGCAGGTGAACAGAGCCGGGAACTCAGCACAGGGATGGTGGGAACCCCTCATAATGGACACAGCAGGTAAACAGAGCCGGGAACTCAGCACAGGGATGGTGGGAACCCCTCATAATGGGCACAGCAGGTGTACAGATCTTGGAACTCAGCATAGGGATGGTGGGAACCCCTCATAATGGGCACAGCGGGTGTACAGATCCGGAAACTCAACACAGGGATGGTCCATATCTCCCCGAAACAGACAGACTCTGAGAGCTGGAGGACCCCAATACAGATTTGGGGCCTCTTTGTTTTGTTGGGGTATAGACAGCCCCAGGGGCAGACTGACAACTCACGGGACCCCCGGTCAATAGGGGATCATGGGGCCCCTGTGTCCTTGCCCAAACTCAAAAATGCCTATGAAAAAGGTACCAGGGGCATCTCATGGGGCCCCCTACTGACCCTGGGCCCTCAATAGGGGATCATGGGGCCCCTGTGTCCTTGCCCAAACTCAAAAAAACCTATGAAAAAGGTACCAGGGACATCTCATGGGGCCCCCTATTGACCCCGGGCCCTCAGGCAGTGCCCGAGTTTCCAAATGGTCAGTCCGCCCCTTGACAGCCCAAACCAGACTCAGAGAACCAGAAGAGCAGGAGATTACAATCGGCTCAGACAACCTGATGCTGGGGCTCCTGCTGTTATGCGTCAGCTGTTTATTCTGGTGTTATGTGATCACTATAATGTCTGCCTGTGTTTGCCTTTCCTGTCTAGGTGTGAAGTATCTTTCTCCAGTTGTGTAATTTCCCCATTGTGTGTCTCCCAGGTGTGAATTCCCATTGTTATTCAGTAACCTGTTGTTTTTCTGTCCATTGGCTTGTCCTCCTGGAGATTCCTAGTTTTGTGTCAACTTTACCTTGTCACCTTACCATTGTGGGTGGTTTACCCCAATGTGTAATATTTGTTTTTTTTTTTTGTTCATATGGGGACATTGGTGCCTTGCTAATAAAAATTAGTATAGGTTCGCACATGCGCTCAAGAATGCACGCAGGTGGGAGCGTGCCCACAGTTTCTGCCACCAGATGGGCTATTCAAGGAAGGGTCTCACTCTCTGTCAGTGCTGACTGGTCTTCAGCTGTTTCCTTGTGTCCTGCTTGTATCCTGTGTGTTATCCATTGCTGACTCGGCTTGCCATTGACCTGCTCTTGGATCCTCACTATGCTTCTGCTCATCGGTTTCTAATCCTGGCTTACTCCTGACCATGTTCCTGTCGGATGTTTTGGTACCTCATCCCCTGCTTGCTGCTGACCTTGGCTACCCCCTGACTATGCTTCTGACTCCAGTTTGGCTTTACAGTCCTGCCCTGGCTGCCTATCATATCAGCTCCAGTGGTCACGGTGTGTTCCAGCCTCACGCTTGTTAGAAGTTCCGTCAAGCCGCGCACCCAGATCTTGCAGTTCTGATGGAGTGCTCCTTTAGCCCTCGGCTGGTCATTCCTGCATCTCCTCTGTTCCTGACCAGATGCCCTGCCTGATTTACTGAGTTTACACCTCCAGCCGTATGTTCTGCAATCAACATCTGCAGGAACTCATGTTCCTCCTGTCCTTCGGCACCATCTCTTCCACCTTCAGTGGGGCCTGGGCTGGAGATTCAAAAGAGGCCTTCCTTTCCAAGGTACGTGACACTGCCCCTATTCTTGAAGTGTATAAAAACCTGTATTTCTTTCCAATAAAGTTATTCTTTGGTTTTTATCTCAACATGTGGTCTGTGTACGGTGTTTTGGGGTAAAGGGCTGGTAGTAGCTATCGTTCTGCTGGAAGGGTTTGGAGGGCAGGAGGAACTGTTTGGTGGAGGCACCTTGTAGGGGGTGCCAGGTGGTTTGGGGTAAAGGGCTGGTAGTAGCTATCATTTTTCTGGAAGGGTTTGGAGGGCAGGAGGAACTGTTTGGTGGAGGCACCTTGTAGGGGGTGCCAGGTGATTGGGGTAAAGGGATGGTAGTAGCTATCGTTCTGCTGGAAGGGTTTGGAGGGCAGGAGGAACTGTTTGGTGGAGGCATCTTCTAGGGGGTGCAAGGTGATTGGGGTAAAGGGCTGGTAGTAGCTATCGTTCTGCTGGAAGGGTTTGGAGGGCAGGAGGAACTGTTTGGTGGATGCACCTTGTAGGGGTGCCAGTTGGTCCATTGCAATTGGTGACAGCAGTGGGATGCTTCCTGCAGTCTGGGGCATCCAAACCACCACCAGGATATGAGGACTGGTTAGCAGAAGAATAGAGGTACAGATACCAGCCGCCATGGAAGAGGAATTCGGAAGGAGGCTTCAGGAGATGCAGATGTAGCACAGAGGACCAGGGCCAGTGCAGGTCCTGCTGGGACGGTATGGTCCCGATTGCCGGAAACCGGTGGGGTGCCAGCAGGTATGCAGTCCTGGGGACTCAATGTTAAGGAATTGAACTCTCCGGGATCTTCCAATCATTGAAATAACGGCTTTGGATGTACTGAGATGGTTAAAATCCCTAGATCCTCAGTACGGGTAATGCTGACCTCATTCCGAAAAAGCTGATTCCCTGGGAGGGGCGGACTGACCACTTAGAAACTCGGGTACTGCCCGAGGGCATGGGGTCAGTAGGGGGCCCCATGAGATGCCTCTGGTACCTTTTTCATAGGCTTTTTTGAGTTTGGGCAAGGACACAGGGGCCCCATGATCCCCTATTGCCCAGGGGCCCCATGAGTTGTCAGTCCACCCCTGTTCCCTGGCAATTGTGCTGACTTCACCCTCTGATCACCAACCCGCACCTGCAGCTCAGTGGCTACAAATCTATAGAATCTGTCAGATCAGCATGAAGACCAGGCAGATGGCATTTTTAGGAGAGGCCAGCAATGGCATTGCCCATATTTGCCATTGGGGGTTGGCTAGAGGGAACCAGAACTGACCAGTATGAAGTGTAGGGGTCCTGCCGAAAAGTGCACACACATCGATGTCTCATCTGCAGCATCGCCGCAGGTTGCAGCGTTTCTATGGTTACAGAAGGGGAGAGGATGGTGCTTCTTCACCCTTTCCGAATCTCGCTGCATCCATCGCTGGGCTCTCCCACTCCCATACATAAATATGACATGATCAAATCTTCAGGTTCACAGCCGGTCCTGGCGGGTGGCCGGCCATTATGCACATGTGGAGGACTCTCCGAAGGTGTGGGAGGGGCGGATAATCTCTCATCCCAGCAGGCAGCGCCGAGGGTCAGAGACACCCCAGGGCTCAGCGAAATATTGGCAATCTCTGCTGACAGCGCAGAAAGTCCTTTCCCATGAGAATATTTATTGGGAGATTTCCTACAAAGGCATGGAAGGGGATCTGCTCCACCAGCAGTTTAACTCCGACCTCCCCTCCAGTCTTGCACAGGTGTACCGGCTCCTCCCCTTCAGTCTTGCACAGGTGTACCGGCTCCTCCCCTCCAGTCTTGCACAGGTGTACCGGCTCCTCCCCTTCAGTCTTGCACAGGTGTACCGGCTCCTCCCCTCCAGTCTTGCACAGGTGTACCGGCTCCTCCCCTCCAGTCTTGCACAGGTGTACCGGCTCCTCCCCTTCAGTCTTGCACAGGTGTACCGGCTCCTCCCCTCCAGTCTTGCACAGGTGTACTGACTCCTCCCTTCCAATCTTGCACAGGCGCACCGGCTCCTCCCCTTCAGTCTTGCACAGGTGTACAGGCTCCTCCCCTTTAGTCTTGCACAGGTGTACTGACTCCTCCCCTCCAGTCTTGCACAGGTGTACCAGCTCCTCCCCTCCAGTCTTGCACAGGTGTACTGACTCCTCCCCTCCAGTCTTGCACAGGTGTACCGGCTCCACCCCTTCAGTCTCGCACAGGTGTACCGGCTCCTCTCTCCTGGACTGAAATGGCTTTCTCTGATTTCACCGCACACTGTGAGCGTCTCACAATGTGCATTAGAAACTGCATCAAGTCACATAGAGCTCCGCCTCATTTCTTGGCTCGAGGACATCCAACATCATCTAGCACTTTCCTCTCTAGCCTGACTGTACCTGGCCCCGCCCCTTTCCTTCATTGGATTTCAGTTCTTTCAATAAAGAATGCTCAGCATTATATGTGGGTATTACCTATGCAAATGCTGAGATGATGTCAGGAGGAAGCATTTCCTCAGTCTCCCCTCCCCTAGTGATCAGACTGTACATTGTAACTTTGTATCAAGTCACAAGCTGAGAGGCTACAGCAGGGGCTGATCTGTGTCAGACATTTATGGCCATGAAATGCAGAGGCACCAGGATATACACAATTATGCCATCTTTGAGCCGCCATCCCAGTCCAGGAAGTAAATGGTGAGCTTGGATGATGGCTGAACAAAGATGGCGCTGCCCCTCTGGGGAGAGAAGCTGATGAAGGAATTGTCAGGAAACACAGTCAAGAACTGCACAGGTGCCAGGATTTACATGCCTGTGTGGTCCCAGTCCATGAGTGGCAGTCGTAGCGAGTAGCGGGTGTCCAGAACCTGACTGCTGCTCCCACAATTCTGCAAAGGATTTCTGTTCTTCAATTCTGTTCAGCTGTCCTCATGATCCAGACACCCCGGGTCACACAGATCGATCCGGTCCTGGACCTCCACTGCAGCAACAGCACAGTTTGGCCAGGAACAGACCCCCCGCCTGCTGCTTGGACAGTATAGAGGATCGGTGCGGTCCTGGACCTCCACTGCAGCAACAGCACAGTTCGGTCAGGAACAGACCCCCCGCCTGCTGCTTGGACAGTATAGAGGATCGGTGCGGTCCTGGACCTCCACTGCAGCAACAGCACAGTTTGGCCAGGAACAGACCCCCCGCCTGCTGCTTGGACAGTATAGAGGATCGGTGCGGTCCTGGACCTCCACTGCAGCAACAGCACAGTTCGGTCAGGAACAGACCCCCCGCCTGCTGCTTGGACAGTATAGAGGATCGGTCCGGTCCTGGACCTCCACTGCAGCAACAGCACAGTTTGGCCAGGAACAGACCCCACGCCTGCTGCTTGGACAGTATAGAGGATCGGTGCGGTCCTGGACCTCCACTGCAGCAACAGCACAGTTCGGTCAGGAACAGACCCCCCGCCTGCTGCTTGGACAGTATAGAGGATCGGTGCGGTCCTGGACCTCCACTGCAGCAACAGCACAGTTCGGTCAGGAACAGACCCCCCGCCTGCTGCTTGGACAGTATAGAGGATCGGTGCGGTCCTGGACCTGCACTGCAGCAACAGCACAGTTCGGTCAGGAACAGACCCACCGCCTGCTGCTTGGACAGTATAGAGGATCGGTGCGGTCCTGGACCTCCACTGCAGCAACAGCACAGTTCGGTCAGGAACAGACCCCCCGCCTGCTGCTTGGACAGTATAGAGGAGCAGATCATTGGCGAGCCAACCGTTTGCTGCTCCCCGCACAGTGACTGAGCTGTCAAAGACAGACCTTGATCCCACTGGCCCCCGATCATGTGACCACCATGACAGCCAATCACAATGGGCCAAATACATATTAGCTACAATAAAAAACTGATAATGCCGCACTTCTCAAAACTCCATGAACATTAATAAATACAAAAAGCAACAAATATAACTGATTCAAAGTTCACGAGTTCTCTGATTAGTAATGTGACATCGTCTTCCCAAACTGATATCGGAATTCCTACAGAAACATCCACATTGTCATAGTCCAGACTCCACGCTCCTCGATCCAGTCACCACAATTGGGACCTCACCTGAATATGGGGCCCTCACCTGAATATTGGGCCCTCACCTGTATATTGTGCCTTCACCTGAATATCGGGATCTCACCTGAATATTGTGCTCTCACCTGAATATTGGAACCTCACCTGAATATCGGGACCACACCTGAATATTGGGACCCACAAATAAATATCGGGACCTCACCTGAATATTGTGCCCTCGCCTGAATATTGTGCCCGCACCTGAATATCTGGACCTCACCTGAATATCGGGACCTCACCTGAATATCGGGACCTCACCTGGATATCGTGCCCTCACCTGAATATTGGGACCTCACCTGAATATCGGGACCTAACCTGGATATTGTGCCCTCACCTGAATATCGGGACCTCACCTGAATATTGTGCCCTCACCTGACAATTGTGCCCTCACCTGAATTTCGTGCCCTCACCTGAATATTGTGCCACCACCAGAATATTGGGACCTTACCTGAATATCTGGACCTCACCTGAATATTGTGCCCTTATCTGAATATCGGGACCTCACCTGAATATCTGGACCTCACCTGAATATTGTGCCCTCACCTGAATTTCGTGCCCTCACCTGAATATTGTGCCACCACCAGAATATTGGGACCTTACCTGAATATCTGGACCTCACCTGAATATTGTGCCCTCACCTGAATATTGTGCCCTTATCTGAATATCGGGACCTCACCTGAATATCAGGACCTCACCTGAATATTGCCAAAAATGTCCTGGTCAGAAATGGGGTAAATCCTCTGGAGGGCAATTGTTTAACATATTAGCTAGAACATTTCTCTTGGCGCCGTAGGTTCAGGTGGGACCTCACCACTATATTGTGTCCTCACCTGAATTTCATGCCCTCACCTGAATATTGTGCCATCACCTGAATATTGGGACCTCACCTGAATATTGGAACCTCACCTGAATATTGTGCCCTCACCTGAATATTGGGACTTCACCTGAATATTGTGCCCTCGCCTGAATATTGTGCCGTCACCTGGATATTGTGCCCTAACCTGAATATTGGGACTTCACCTGAATATTGTGCCCTCGCCTGAATATTGTGCCCTCACCTGGATATTGTGCCCTTACCTGAATATTGGGACCTCACCTGGATATTGTGCCCTCACCTGAATATTGGGACCTCACCTGAATATTGTGCCCTCACCTGGATATTGTGCCCTCACCTGAATATTGGGACCTCACCTGAATATTGTGCCCTCACCTGAATATTGGGACCTCACCTGAATATTGTGCCCTCACCTGAATATTGTGCCCTCACCTGGATATTGTGCCCTTACCTGAATATTGGGACTTCACCTGAATATTGTGCCCTTGCCTGAATATTGTGCCCTTACCTGAATATTGGGACTTCACCTGAATATTGTGCTCTCGCCTGAATATTGCACCCTCACCTGGATATTGTGCCCTTATCTGAATATTGGGACCTCACCTGAATATTGTGCCCTTACCTGAATATTGGGACCTCACCTGAATATTGTGCCCTCACCTGAATATTGGGACTTCACCTGAATATTGTGCCCTCACCTGAATATTGTGCCCTCACCTGAATATTGGGACCTCAACTGAAAAAAAAAATGTCCTGGTCAGGAAGGGGGGTAAATCCTGTGGAGGGCAATTGTTTAACACATTAGCTAGAACATTTCTCTTGAACAGTTTATTGGCGCCGAAGGTTCAGGTGCTGCAAATGTGTACAAATACCAGCAGCAGCTTTGGAAGCTGAATGACATTTGGGTCTTGTAGTGCCAGAACTGCTGCCAGCCCATCGTTCCCTGTAACAGCCGCGTTAGTTCCGTGCATTGGGGAGGAGACATGCGACGGTGTCAGCAAATCAATAGCAACCCAGTGACACAATAAATAGCAGCGTCCTTGTCATGCGGACAGCAGCAGCGGCACGGTGACGGGTGTAGCCTGTAATTATCTCGTACATCCACCAGACCTGCTCAATACATCTGCAAGAGCAAGCCACACAAATGAACTCCAGACCGATAATATACTGTGTGCCTGCCCCGTGTGCGTGGCCCGCTCAAAGACAAGCCGGCCAACCCATCGTAGACCTACAGACAAGATATTTATCATATCAGGCCATAGACGGTTCGAAAATCGGCCATTTAAAAAAAAAAAAAAAAAAAAAAAATCGGTCGTTCGATCGGCCGACGTTACCACCAACGGTAAAAAAAAACGCCCGATTTTTGTCCTGTCTACAGCCGGCATTTAACCCCATAATTACTTCTGTCCCTTGCAGAGACAGGGGAGCACACAGGGGAGCACACAGGGGAGCAATACATAAGAATAATGAGAAGAAGAAAAGAAGAAGAATTCCAGTAAATTCATATTTTATATGAAAAGTCTTGCAGTTGCAACAATGTATCTATTTGTATCCATTTCAGATACAGATGTTTTTATTCGGATACAAATGGATACATTGTTGCAACCGCAAGACTTTTCATATAAAATATAATAGCGGACTGGAATTCTTCTTCTTCCTTCCTCTTCCTTACTCTTCCTCCTTCTTCTTCTTCTTCCTCCTTCTTCTTCCTCCTCCTCCTTCTTCTTCTTTCTTTTTCCTTCTTCTTTCTCCTACTTCTTCTTCCTCCTTCTTCTTCTTCTTCCTCCTTCTTTTTCCTTCTTTTTCCTCCTTTCTTCCGCCTTCTTCCTTCTTCTTCCTCCTTTTTTCCTTCTTCTTCCTCCTTCTTCTTCCTCCTTCTTTTTCCTCCTTCTTCCTCTTTCTTCTTCTTCCTCCATCTTCTTCCTCCTGCTTCCTCCCTCTTCCTTCTTCTTCTTCCTCCTTCTTCTTCTTCCTCCTCCCTCTTCTTCCTCCTTCCTTCTTCTCCTCCTTCTTCTTCCTCCTTCCTCCTTCTTCTTCTTCCTTCTTCTTTTTCCTCCTT